CACACACACACACACACACACACACACACACACACACACACACACACACACTTGCACATACCTGTGTCGATGATAATCTAAGGTTTAGGCTCTTATTCGAGCGTTCGATTCCCGAATGGGGAGACGTCATTTTATCTAAATCCGTGTCTCTCAACTGTCATTCGGTACACTATGCTGTCTTTATTGGCTCTAACAGATAAGGCCGAAGCAGTCCACTTTTTAAATTATTCTAACTGCCCATGTCGATGTGAACCATTTACATGAACACCCGCTCATTCAAAGAGAAGAACCGAGTTTATTTTAGCAACTTACCTCAGACAACTAGATCTAGATTTCAACAGAAGATCTTTACCGATATCACTCCTTGTCTGAATCAGGTTGCATCTTCTCATCATGCAACTAAGTTATACACCCGTTTCTATAAATTATATTTGCATCCTCATTGGCACACACTCTTTAACACAGTGAATTTTATGTTCGGATACACTACGCACTGTTAGCCGACCGGAAAAACGCACACCCACAAACTCTCAAGCCTACAAAACCCTGGTGTGTTCGTGTCTTTCGACAAAAGTGTGTTCGTGTCTTTCGGCGCGACACAGTCGAGTGAAGACAGTCAACTCCTTACAACGGTCACAGATGAGTCAGCACGGCCCGTACGTCTGGGTGATGCCTGCTATAGAACGGGTTACGCCAAACTAGTTCATCTAGTACAGGTCTCAAACTTTTTTTATTCAGAGGGTCAGATGACTGAGAGAGGGATAAGTGCGGGCCAGGAAAGTACTTTGTCTTATACAAAGTGTCCCAAATTTCGCCGCACCTTCCCAAAAACCTTCTACAAGCACGGGAACTGACGATTTGAAGAAAGCACTAACTACGGAGTGTTAAAGATCACACCTGGAACACCCAAACGGATAAAAGACATCGTTCATGAGAGAGTCGATGCTTGTTCGGTAGATGAAGAAGCTCAATTCAAGCGTTTATTAAAGAGTAATATCAATCAAGCTGGGTTTTTTTATGAAGACCAGGACAGAACCCGACTTTTTGGACACCCTGTACAAAACGCCAAGTGCGGAAAATCTACCAAAATAAAATAAAAAAACAATCGTTGTTCATCATTAGACGTTCACAGAATACAAAATACGTAAATGATAAAGACAGAAAACAACAATATATTATATCTACCATTAAATATCAAATTATGTAATGTTGTAATAAGATAAGTATCTATAATACAACAGGTACAAGAGTGTGATATATTGGCTTGAAATATAATAAATGCACATTCATATCGCACGGTAGACTTCAGTCCAACGAAAAGACTGAATTGTTTGATGACCAAATCACGAGCTGGTTACAAACACATTTTCCAAGATTTTCGTTCTGTTATGTATGGGTTCATTATTATTTTTGAACCAGCATGGTGGCAGGCCAAGAGAACTGACCTTGCAGGCACGATCTGGCCCGTGGGTCGAACTTTGGGTACCCCTGCCTGACTTTGTGGTTAAGCTACCGGACTCGCAATTGGTCGCTTTCAAGAATAAGGGGGCCATCCCAAAAAATGCTGTTTTTGAGAAAATCGAAGGTAAAGTTTTTGCCCCTTGTTCAGTTTCTTTAAAAGACAATGAGGGTTTTTTCTATAACCCAACAAATGTACACACCAATGAAACCAAAGTTCTTCTAAAAGGTAGGCCAATGCCCACTTTTTTCTGGTAACCCCCGAAATCTGGGTTAGCCCGCTTGTCCTTAAAAGCGACCAATTGTTATGCTGCAGGTTTGGTAATTCGAGACTCACGGCAATTTTCTTGGAGAGCCTACACAGATGGGGGCGGGAAAAGATTTGGATTATATTAGCACCAGATGACAAATTATGGCCTACCCACGGGCGTACAGAAAGCAAAACAGATCAAAACAAATTCTAACTATACTCAGAAAATGGTTCTTATGAAGATCTTCAGCAACCTGACCTCGAACTTAGAGCCTCTGCTGATGTTACAGCCACGTTACTCCAAGGTACCTCCAAAATGTTTTGAACCGTATCTGTTTCTATTTATGGCACGTGTTCGTGTTCGTTGATTGCATGACTTGCTTTGAAAGCAAAATTAGAGACAAAGACACACACACACACACACACACACACACACACACAAACAGAGAGAGAGAGGGAGAGAGAGAGAG